AGATTAAGCAAATTGCAAACTTAAGAGTCAGAAGGCATGTTTAGCTTCATTTGTCCCCACCAGAAGTAATTAAACTGAGTTCACTTTGACATGCTAGAAAGACACGCATGAATTCTAACTACAATAGCCATAATAGCTCTATTTGTTGATTACTATAAATTCACAAGAGGGGAGGGGTGTTCAATGTCACTCAGAGGGCAAGAAGCAGGCAGAGGGAATTAGTGGAACCAAGAACCAGCATTTGTATAACATATCCTGCTGATGAGGGATAGAACATCACTACCCCCATCTGAAAAATTCAACAGCCTCCACACATAATTAAATTACAGGACACAGATTAATTTCAGCTGTAGAAATAATATCAGTACAGGCAGTATTCCTCTCTGGAAACAAAGAATACATGCTCAGAGAGTACTGCTATTATCTGCACAAACCATCATAGATTTGGAAAGAGCTGTGATTATATCACTAAAATGTAGAAAGCGAGGCAAAAAAATTTAGTCAAATACTGAATGTGCTAAAAAGGCAGGTTTCTATCAAACAATTATCTGATTCTCAGAGAGAGAGAGAGAGAATATGAGAACTCCCCAGGTCTGCCTTACAGGTTCAGTGAAGGACAGCATTTCACCTACAGGTTTTCAGATGTGTTTTGTACTCTAGGGTTTTCATGTGTAAATAGGAAACAATGAATGGCACTTGAGAATAATCTGCCTGTACACGATCAGCAAAGCAACAAAAGATGTTAAGATTGACATCACGGCAGTGCACATTTGACACAGAAATCCACAACAGGTGTGAAAAGCCTTTGAAGACAATGTCCATCAATTAATCGCCCAGTGCTTTAAGGCAATAACAACAGGCAAGAATTCCCAAGTAGACATTGCAGTACATCGATGAGAACCTCCAATTTTAGATTGTACTTAAGTCTTTATAGATCTAACAGAATCAGTGATTACTTTTTTTGAAGCATTGCCCAATGCAAGGTTTGAACTTTCACTTACTGCCTCCAGAGTCACCAACCTGCTGACAGATCAGTACATTCACAGAACGGACTTGTACTACAGCAGCCAGGTACTAGAGTTTGACATCCACCATCAATCCCCTCCTCCCTCTCCTGTTCCCCCTGCAACACGGGTTCCAGTTTGCTCTTTTAACTGTCTCCCCTCTCAGTTTACAAGCTTCACATACTGGAAGAGAGCTGTGGATAGAAGGCTAGAGAGGGCAACGGCTCCTTCAGTCCTGCTCACTGGGGCATCCCACAGCAGGCACGCAGTACCCTGGCTCAGCAGAGACTGCAGCTCTGCCTTTCCAAAACAAATGAGCTGCAGGCCACATGAGAAAAGGCACCCTTAAGGATTTTCTTACCTAACGCACAAAAGCAGTCAAGTCTTATAATCATCCTAGGCTACTAATCATACCTGTCCTTACCAGCAACTATTTCAAGATTATTTTTTAATTTCATTAGCCACATTAAACACTTCCTCCTACCACCTTAACCCTGTCATCATGCTTTCACCACTGTTCAGTTTATAATTTCAGGAATCACCTAACTTTTCATTCTGAAGATGTAAGTGCATGTAAAATTAAGCTTGTGGAAGCCTTCCCTAGCTCAGGATTGTAACATTATGAATTCCATGCAGCAGCTGAGCTTCATGTCCATCATGTGTCATGAATACCCTTGTCCCTCTATAAATAAGCAGCCTAAAATCCTTTAGAGCTGATGGAAGTGTTCAATTTGCAGGAGAAGAAAACTGTGTTGCTAAGGAACTGCAAAGAAGAAAGGCCAGAGTGTGGTAATCTGAAATGAAATGAAAGGAATTAATTTAATTGGCCCTTGATATGTTGGGTATTTGGCACATTATCAACAATTCAGAGGCTGTAGGCTTTGTTTCAAACTTAGGCTGAAAGAATAGTCAGAACATGGTTGCACCCTTAATTTAGAGATTAGCTGCATTCTCTCTTCTTTATACAACAGACCCTGTCCACTTTTGTGGATTTCTGACAAAATTTTAAAAAGCAAGCCACAGGAATATCAGTTTGAACTACAGCTATTCCTACAGTTCTTGAGACTCCACTTTTTAGCTGAAAACAAAGGGTAAGGATTTTCTTCACATTTATTCTCACTGGTGGATCAACAGATGTGCTTTGCCAGTAAGCACTGCCTTTCATGTTCTGCTGATTTTGGCAGAGATCGCAGCAATGCACAGAACCAAATACTATTTCATGGATTTTTGTTTTGCAAAACTTTCATTTCAGGAAAATATTTTCAATTGTTTATAAGAATTAAAAAAAAAAAAAGACTCTATGTGGTAGAAGATTTTTCAAGCTCTTTCTCAGCTGAGAATTTCAGCTGTTTTAAAGAGTATTTCCTTTTCTTTCCTCTTTTTTTGGAATAGATCTTTCTCTAGTGAACCTTTTTTTCTTCTTTTTTTACCTTTTTCCTTCGATTTACTTAAATAGAAGAGAGTTACGACTGCAGAGACTGTCTCTGGCATGTTTAGCAATGCCTTTACCATTCATTACACATCTTCCAGCACTTCAGCTGAAGTATCACAAATGCGTAGTACGAAACTGACACCCTCACCTTCTTCCTTTCCTACTACGATTCTAGGGGCTATACTGTTGAACGCTGACTCATCAGTAGACTGTCACACAAAGGTATCCCATAAAATAACTATCAAACAACAATATATAGCAATGACAAAACTATCACACTTTCAGGCAACAAACAACAGGCTTTCAGGAGTGGTTTACAAGGAATTGACTTACTAACCAAAACGAGGTGTGTGACCCACCTATCTTCTTCTCACTCACCATTACCTCCTTCACTGTGCACTCCTAGATCTTGATTTGGTCGGGTCTTACTGCTTCAATTTATTGGTTTTGTAATGCCTAGTTGATCAAATAAAAGATAAGGCCTTCCCCTCAAAATTCTGTTCAACTTTCTTGTGATGTACAATGACAAAACACAGCAGTTACGCTGTAATTATGTTCTATCATTTTTCCTCCCTATGAACATCTATTTTTATTGGAGCATGAAAACTTGCAAGCTGAACACCAAACAAGAAACGTCATTAATACAATAAGCTTTACATACGTATGCTAACTCCAACTCCTAGTCTATAAAATTTTTGTCTGGCCTATTGAAAAAAATTTTCCAGACCTGTAAATTTTTCCAAACACTTTCAGACAGTTATTGGATAAGAACATGAAATATGCATTCCATGTTTTTTCAGAAACACAGGTAGAGCAGGTTAGAATTGCAGCAAAAGGCACAGCAATAAATTTCTCAGTGTGCTTCTGTGTGGCCACAAGAGATAACATTGTATTACCATAGTTCTTTCATCTCTTTCTGGAAAATGCAGAACTTAAGACCTTCAGAGAAAATAGCATAGGCACTGTCCCATTTCCTGAATTCATGTCGCTGCTACACTTCACTCATTACTCTCGTGTAATAAAAATTAAGGACACAAAAAATAATCTGCTACCACACAAGAAAAACAAGAAAAAGGTAAGAGAAGTTTAAAGTAAAAAATTCTTCAGAAGTGTGTTTTTCCTAAAGTCTTACGGCACCCTTCACATCACCAGAGGGCACCACTACTCACACCCAGTGTACTAAGCACCGCCTCTTGTGCTCTCTATTCTGTGCAGCAAACAACGGTAGTGTAGCAAAAGCAGCCGTTTTCTCAAAATACTGTGAATAATGTTGTTACAAAGGTGACTCTTCCCTTTGAACTGTTTCCCATTTGCACAAGTGTTTTCCATTTATAAAGTGTTTTCCTTCTGAAGACACTGTATCTGTATCACAGCTTTCCAAACTCTCGCTTTCCTGCTTTGCTGTCCCCCAAAAAGATTCTAGAAAAACAGGCATCTTACAGTCTAGGGGAGCTATACATGACCAGGAAGACCACAAGGTCTTAGACATTACGAGATATCAGCAGGTAGGGTTTCTGACCTACAATGTCCCTTGCCAGTAACTGAGACAGTTCTGTGAGCCTGTCATTTTGAACCAGACTGACCAGTAACTAATGTCTAATGATGAAGATGACTTAGAGGAAACTCACAACCATCTAGAGAGGCCTCAGCCACACTAACGCATTGCACTGATCACTTTAAATTCAGCCTGTGTTACCTGTTGTGTTAAGAGCAGGGACAGTTTCTTCGCAACAAACAAGATACAAACATAGAAAAAACATCATCTTCTCTCCTGAGCTTCTTGCTCGATGTTTCAGAGCAATTGTCTATACGGTAACATCTGCATGCGCTCTTAAATGCAAGGAATGGATTTTAAAAGCAGTATTACCAAACACTACTAAACTGTGTTTTTGTGGGGTTTTTTGCCTTTTTTTTTGATCACGTATATATATTGCAACTAAAGCAGACACACAGCTATCCTTCGCTTACTTCAGAGCAGGCTTTTTATGTGCTAGCATATTTTTATTGATGAAACAACAACATACCCCACTGTGCTCTCAAGGAGGCTACAAGGTCATTAGTTACCGCAAGAGCAGTAGCGGCCATTTGAGATCTTGATGTTCTTTAGAAGTGCTATTTGCCTTAGGATTACTTGCTCTACCCAGTGCCAACATACCCAGCATTCACAGGCAACCTGTTTGCCTACACTGTAGAACCATCTATGCTACAGCCTTGAAGCACAAAACTCAGAAGCACTCAGAAGGGATCAAAGACATTCACTTACTTGCAGTACTCCACACTGGTCTCACCTATACTGGAAATAAAAATCAGGGAATTCAGGCAGGGGTGGGAGTTTGAGAAAGAGAAGGAACCCAGATCACCTGCACACAGGAAGTTTAGAAAAGGGAAAGCAAGCAGGTTCCAGATGCTAGCCCCTGTAAGTTTTGGGTTTTTTTTTAAGCTCGAGCAAGGGATTTATTTGAAAGGTACCAAGATACCACACATTACACACTAGTGGTAATACAGCTGCTGTCACAGAATGTTACTTATGGGCAGGTAAGGTGGAAGGACACAAACATGCTCACCGTGCACACAGAGGTCTCGTCCCCAGTCTTTACTCTGTTCCGAGCCAAAAGCTGCTCCAAGAGGCTGAGTCTGTGCAGCAGCCAGGAAAACGCCAGCAGCAGCTCCCGACTACCCGCTGAGCCGTCAGAGGGGAGCCGATAGAGTTCTGGCCTGTCATAGCCATGGTACCACAACGCTGATTTTACAAACCTAATTTGGTTATCTGAAAAGAAGAAAACAATTGAGAATAACACACTGCACTTACTGCATTTACTCATTCACTTCCAGAAAGTTTTTTTTACCCATTTTACCCATTGACTTGCCTCTTCTGAGAGCAAGATTTTTAATCAAGCCTAAGATTAGCAGAGGACAGTGGAGCTTACACTCTTTATGAACAACTGATCAAGGACAGGAGGAAAAGGGTAAAACCCTTCCTTATGCTGCCCCATTCTAAACTACAGGAACTACTGCTATGGGAAAAGAAGAAATTCAAAGTTGAGATGAAGGCCAGTAACGGCCTCTTGGAGATTAACAAAGGCAAAAAAGGTAAATAGCCATCCCCACCATAACAGGACTCCAACTCACCTCTTCATTTTTTAGGAGTCACCAAGCATGCTAGGAATTAGTAAACACTCTGGGTCACTTTACTCCTGAATGAAACGGGAATTTAGAGATCAGAGTTCCACAGCCTGCTGCTAATCTCTGAGCATCAGTGAGCAAGCAGAGATAATGCAGCACACCACATGGACTATTTAATTCTCAGGAACGCTTCAATCCGTATTCCTTCACACCAGCAAATGTTACCTGACAGCTAGCTACAAGACAGGCACTACAGAACTGTAAAATACTGAGGAAACACGAAGAAAATTATTATTAAAAAAGGTTCTGATCAGTAAGCCTCAGTTCTGTACTAAGTCAAAACTACAATAAAGAACATAATTAGAGGGCACAATGATAAACACCACCTACTGGGGAAGAAACAACAGTTGTTGTAAAAGGAAGTCCTGCTAAAAAGATACTGGAGTTCTCCAAAGGCAACAAGCAGCAAGTGATTAAGGAAGATTCAACCAATGAGGGACACTTAAGACTTCCCAGTGGGATTCAACTAGCACAGAGTAACTAAGCCACTGCTGTGGATGGAGAGGGAAGGTCCTTGAATCAATGACAATTGCCTAGCAGACAAGAACCAGAGGCTAGGAACAAATGGTCGTTTCACATGAGGGCTCTGTGATAAACAGTTGCTGTTCAAACAACTCAAAATGACACACAGACAATGTGATGGTGACAGCAAATTTGGTGCTGGTGTGATACTACTCAGCAGTCAGGAATGCAGTCAGATCCTGAAGGACTGCAGAACCTAATGAGCCCAAGCTTTAAAATGACAAAATTCTTTTTAGAAAAAAATGAAGAATTACGCACACAAGGGAAAAAACAATCCTAACTTCACTGACATGGCAACAGGCTTAAAGACTGGACTCCGGAACACTGTCTTAGATGATAAGATTTTTCATTACAATATCACACTTGGTTCTCATATGCATCCAAACGCAAACTGAATGTGACAAACCTAGCAAGGAAACTAAACAGAACACAGAGAACACCGTTATATTGTTCTCTACATCCACTGTGACCCCACCTCTCTTATTTCTTCAGTCCCAAAAAGGCTACAGAAGACTGGGAAAAAAACAAAGAGAAAGGACAAGTATGATCACAAGTACAGAACAGGTTCGTTGTAAGAACTGATGATGTAGGCCAAGAAGATCACTGAGAATGGATATGACAAAACTCTTTAAAACCATGAGTGCTGTGGAGTGGGTGAACAGGGAATAATTTGTTTGCACGACATTTAATGCAAGAACTGTGAGCCACCAAACAAAGTTAGCAAGCATGTGAATCAAAACAAGTTAAAGAGATGTTCTTCACACATCCAGCAAAGCTCTGAAATTTCTGGCCATGGGACACTACGGACACTGAGAGTTACACAGGCTCAAGGAGGAACTGGATTTACAGAAGAGGAGTTCATGGAAGCTTATACAAAGATATCCCTCTCTAGTTTGGGAAGCCTGAGATGTAAATTACTAGAGGCTGAAAGAATAGCCCCCTGAAAGCATCCTTCTATATTTTCTCTTTCCTTTCCCCTGGGCATCCACTTTTTACAGCTGGATGGAGCTAGAGGAACCTTTAGTTTGATCCAGTTTAGGCATTCTTACAAAGCAAGGAAGAAAGCTGATCCCCTTTTCCAGTGTTACGCTTCAGTATCTCTGTAGGGTTTCATTAAAAAGGCACACACACAAAAATAACAGGAAGTACAAACCTTGCACAATCAGGGACTGTCACTGCTGTCCTTAATTAACATACCAATTCATCACATTACATACTCATTTGCCTGCCTCTTGTCACTTGTGGCAAAAACATCCCTTAGCATTGACATATATTGCAATCTTTCTTTGTCTGGCATTGACTGCTGAAGCTCAAAAACCACATGACCAACTTCGAAACAAAAACCAGGAAAAAAATCCTGTTGCTCTCAAAAGCAATTTGTTAATTACAAGAGACTCACAGTGAAGAGTGGTTGATTTAACTTGATTTGCAAAATGCTAAAGGAGTCTTATCCACCAAAAGTAATGCAAAGCCAAGACACAGGGAGGAGCTACAAGTTGACCTATGCTAGTAACCCCATAGGAGCCACCAAGCCCTTTGTGCCTTCACAAACCAGAGGAAAGTACATCGTTTGCACTGTTGACCAAAACTTTAGGGTTTAGGGAAACAAGGGTGCGGATCCCTAAGGAGATGCCTACTTCCAGCGTGCTCCTTAGTCCAAATACACAGCTGAAACTGTTATACAGATTACTACACCTCTTCAGCAGTAGGAGCAGGAATACATGATTGGCCACATGAAAGCTACAAATAAATTCCTGACAAAGACATTAACCACGACCAAAGAACAAAAAACAAGATCAGGAGCATGATTAAGCAGGTGACATGATGGTGCAGAGCTTCTAATTTTTTGCAGGACTAGTGTTTTGTATAGCAGAGCTTCTGCAGAGACATATGACAGTTGGTCAATTGGTTTTAAACCTAGTTTGTGTTTCTGCATTACAGACACGAAAAGGAAAACCAAACACCTAAATCACTCTGTTTTCGCAGAACGTGTAAATGTAAAAACAAGCGGCTTCCCTTCATGATGCTAGGGTGGCAGAAATGCCTACACTTTGCTAAAAATTTTGCTGTAGATATGCACTCCAATCCCTCATGCACAGGGAGAGCACTCAGATATTAGAGATTTTATTTTGATCGCTCTTTAACGCTCTCATGTGAACTAGGTTTTCATGTTCACCTTTCCTTTTCTTTGTGCATTTATCAAGAAAGGAACTGCCGTAACAGGTAAAAGTAGAAATACTCTAAAAGGAAGATCAGTACATACTTTTCTCCTTTTTCAAAGCAAACAAGCATCACATGCTGCCATCTGCAGTTCAGGGAGCTCCCCAAGAAATCACAAATCAAAGAGAAGGAATAGAGAGTAAGCCAGGTGGTTTTTTTCCTTTATCATCATTTCCCTGCTCTGATATACCACTCAGGACCAGATCCACCAAGGCAATTCACCCTTTATCTCCCCCTATTTAATCTCTCCTTCTGTAACACATTGCCCTCACATGAGGGGGTACAACTGGTGTGACTATCAGGCAGGAATTGTGGGTGAGCGGTCAAAGCATGGATGTGGAACTGGGGCTCAAAGAGCCTTCCCGTGACCTTAGAGAAGTCACTTAGTTTTCCTTGTCTCTACAGTGCTCTGCTTACAAGGAAACAGTGCTCAGATAAATGGCAGCAGAGGCTATGTAAGTACCCAAGGCCAAGACAGACTCCCCCATAATGTGCAGCTGAGACAGAGGAAAAAACATCAGATAGCAGATAACACCAGTCACTCAAACACCTCCTCTTTGACAACATCTTCTTATGGCATTTCATTAGGATTAGGCAATTTGTAGAGAAAGACCCACACAAGTCCTTCCAACTAATCCCCTTCTGCATGCACGTTATTCATAAAAGTACGTTCAGCAAGTAAGACCAAGCTGTGGATGAACCTCAGGGTTCTGCTCTCTTGAAACTATACTCAAGCTGTCCTCTTCCGCTTTATGAACCCTGCAGAATATCTGCAGTGAATTACAACATGATATTCAAATAAGGGTTATGCATTAGCCTGGCAGGCTAAGATGGAAAGGAACTAAATCAAATACAAGAACAGACACAGATACATTACTTCATGCACTCAGGCAAGAAACACCTGCATAGGTAGCAGTATTATAGGAAACTACTGCTGCAGAAGAACATTTTCTGCTTCATTTATCAAACAAACAAAAATATATTGCAGCTCCAGACCTCTTTCCCATACTACAAAAAGTGAATTGCTACTCCAGAAAAGAAACATTTCTTCAAACTATCTAAATGCATAGTGCACTGCTACCCGCTATGGTCGTTAGGTTGTTAACCAAGTCTGTCAGCTCTCAGCCTCTGTGAAGAAAGAGCAGCATGAAACCACTAATCATGATTTCATCAACAAGGTTATGCCTGGAGTACTATTACACAGCTTACTTTGACTCGTACTCCACGGATGAGAGACCCATTGCTCTGACATGTTTAAGGGGCTGAAATGTGTTAATGGCTTCCCACTAAAGTTTACAGTAAGTGGTTTTTAATGTATAAAGAAAAAAATCCTTCCAAAATGAGAAACAAAAAGAGCCATTTGCAGAATTTTATAACCACTGACTGGTAGGCTTCAGTAGGGTTTCTGGTTTCTTTTCGCAAGAACGCAATAGTTCCAATATTTTAAAACATCAAACTGTGCGGATTTTTTTTATATGTGATTTTTCAAATATTTAATTTTCAGCTAGGTAGGCAATAAAATACATTAACCATTTAAAAACATGATGCAAAAAGTTTTTCTAAACAGTATCACATCACAAGCATACCAAGGGAATGACTAGCAGTTGTTCTATTCAAAGCGATTTTTAATCTCCTCTAAAATTCATCTATATGACACAATCAGATCAAAAACTGACTAAGGAAAACTACCAACTCGAAACAGAAATACACATTGGGGTGCAACTTCGAAAGTCACTTGATAAAAAGGACTTCCCACACCAAGCAAAAGTTTTCTGAAAAAATTTGTCCTTTTCCATGGGCAAAATCTGTAAGAGCATTCTGTCCTTGCAACACGCTGCTTTCTTCTAGCACTTCACAACTGCAAGTGGCTCAACATCTGGCATGCAGTCCTTGAAATGTAGGTCTCGCTCTACAGAGTAGGGAGAAAAAGCACTGTGACCCCAACAACACAGGCAGACTACAGGCCAAAGTTCAATGTTTCCTTTGGAAAAAGAAAGGGTACAAGTCCATTTCAGTATGACTTCTCTTTTCCACAAAGCTGCTCCTATGCACACAGAAACCCTTATACTGAAGGAGTCTTCACAGCCTTCCTCTGGGATCTGGCAACTACTGCTCTCCTTGTTTTAGTTGAGATATTTAAGAGGTTGTACAAAAACAGCAGAGAAAGGAAAGCCTGATCCGTGGACTAAAGCACTAGACTTGGATTAGAGGAATCCATTTCAATTCTTTGTTGTGCAACAGGATCCTGTACAAATCTGAGAAAGTTATTTAATCCCTATGCCCAAGGCTTCCACTTCATTTGCATGAAATAAATAAATGAAAGACCACAAGTGCTCCAGAGCAGGGACAGAGAAGAAAGGCAGTAAAATACCGATTGAGTTCACAGAAGACAACCCATCCACTTGGCCAAGCAAAGGTAATTAGTGTAATTTGAAAAAAGTACAGCTCTCCAACCTGAATTTCAGCTTTAATCACCACGTTGTGGCTAAATAAGTTTCTTAAAAATCAGCTCAGCAGCTCTGAGAAGAACCACACATTCCCACCTCACAATCTACCAGCAGGGGCTGGGTTTCCTCTCTCTAGAGCCAGCAACCTGCCATATGCACATGGGAATCCTGTCTGCAAATGCTACAAGCAATCAATATGGGAGCAGCCAGGATTTAATGGGGTTGCACTTGCGCAGGACCTCCTCCCAAAGCTGTAGAAGACAGCCAATAAATTGATTTACTATCCACAGCAGACTGTGGATGAGTGGAAAAGCAAAAACAGCCAAATGAAAAATAGTAGTCCTGTGAGTAACAAAAATGCTGATGTCCTGCTGAGCCACCAGCAAAATCATGCTGGTTTTGCTCCACACTCCACAACGGTTTACCTTTTTTAACTCCTTTTCCAGAGGCATCAAATTCCCAGCTCTTCAGGGGCTTAAACAACGTTGTTTAAGTTTTTTTGCTTTCAAGGGCAAAAGTAGATTTTAAGTGGTTTTGGTCTGAGAAGACCTTTATCCATCACAGACAATCCCATTCTCAAAACTTCCTCTGACAGTAAAAGGGCTCTAGATAGAAATCTTTCATGAGAGAAGTCTGAAGAGTAGTATCGTACTTGAAATAACATACATTCAAGTAGTAAATAGTGTGCTGTCATTGTGAGAAGCCAGCCTGCATTCAGCTTCTCTCTGAAGTAGTGGCTCTGTCCATAGAGATATTCACAGTCCCTCTACAATAATCACACACACTTTACTTTTTGTTTTGTCTAGAACTTCAATCCAAAACACTGTCTTTATGATTCATATGCTATAATTCACAGCTCTGACAGAGGACTCGATAGAAAATTAACCACAGAACCATGCGTCATGTGTGGAATGTGGAAAGAAAGAATCAAAGGAAAAAGAAATCTCTTTCTGTAATTTGTTCTGCAGATGCTGAGAATGCATAAGATCATTGCGGAGATTTACCTGCAGTAAAATGTCAAAGGGAAACAAGAGCCCCTAGCAGATGCAAGAACATCCCAGTTTCCTGGACAAAGCAAGCCACAGAGGAGTAAACCTCTGATGCAACAGTTAAGTTGGTGGCACAGGTATTCAAAGTGGAGCATTCCTGACAGGGAGCAAGGAACCAAAGAAAAGGTGGTACAAAACCAGTCCCAGTACCTCCTTGGCACAGACGGAAATCACAGTCAGCCAGACTAACTAGGTTACCTATGGCATCAGACTCTGTCCACTTGTCTCCGTGGATTTGTTTCAGAAGAGCATAGAGCAGCCTCCAGAAATCCAGGCTCTGCAAAAGAGAGAGAGGGTTGGGGGGGAGATCAGCAGGCAAAATAGCTGCCATATATTTAGTCTTATTTAGGCAACGAAACTCATATCTGAGCATCAGTTGTTACACGGAAGACCACATCCGCATCCTGCCAACACTGTCGAATCAGGCAGGTTCACATATTAGCTGTTAGGAACGTGACTACAGTAAGGTGCACTTAGAAAGAGAAAGGCTGCTAATGCTGGCTGTACAGCAAGACCCAGCACTTCTGCTTTGAGGCACATGCATACAGGGGCACGGCTTCTGAAACATCTGCTCTGATATAACCACATATGGCACAACTCGACCGTAGCCAAACAAGCATTTGAAGACACTGAAAAAAATCTGACCAAACAAGAGGCAGCATACAATTAGTTAGAATTTGAAATAATTTCTCAGCTACACAAGGACAGCACACTGACAAACTGAAACAGTGATTCTTACAGTTCGAATTTCAGTCGACATTTGTAAAAATGCTTAAAATAGCTGAGCGAGTGGAGCACCCTGTGTGCGAGCTGGAGGCCTCGGAGCACCGCTCTGTAAAGCCCTGAAGCAGAAGGGCCCACGCCGGTACACAGCCAAGGGAAGCAAACCTCAGGTACCGCCAGAAAGGGTCGCACACCGCGGTGAAATACCAAGCTTTAAGTTAAAACCACAGTAAGATAAAGCCCTTTCAAGAGCAGCAAGCTTGCTGACGGTCACACAGCACACGCCAGTGGGGCCCACACAGAAGTCCCCCCGCCCAGGTGCCCCCTGTCCCAAGGCCCACTCCCACCTGGGTGTCCCCGTACCCCCTTCACCCGGGACTCAGCCCCGCACGGGGACCCCTGCCCGCCCACAG